CCCCTGCTGAGTTTCACTGGCCAGGCCGGGGAGGGGGGTGGGGGGGGGAGAGAGTCAGGGAGACACACTGTTACCCTGGGGCAGGGACTTGGGGAAACTTTCCTGGAGAGGGGGAGCTGAAGAGCCAGGAGAGGAGAAAAGCCAGCCAGAGAGAGAGGGGCTCCAGGAAAGAGACCAGGGGAGGGAAGATGCTGGGGGAGGGGGAGGTGCACCAGCGAGGAATATTTGGCTATAGGGGATTATGCAAGAGTGACGCATAGTCAGTGAATATGCAAACCAGCACGATACATCACGACCATGGAGGCTTCCCGGCTGGAGTTGTAGGCCCAGGTGACCATACACCCCACTTTGGAAAAGGACCGCAGAGTGAGGGGGGTGCACAGGGAGCCCGATCTCCAGCCCCGGCACTCTGGGGGTAATGGGTCCCCAGTGAGAACCGGGCCCCAGCTGACAGCGCGGCAGACTCCACTGACACACACAGAACCACCACAGGCGGAAGGAGCCGTCACCGTTTCACACCCACCCAGCCCCGAGCGCTGAGTGTCCCCGGCTGGGCAGCCTTGAGCTGACTGCACGAGTCACCACAAAAGGGAAGAGCTTCTCACGGGGAAGCTGCAGCGCCAGGGGGCGGCCCGTTTCCTGCATTTTCACCTGTTGTGGCCCTGGCTCTGTCCTCCCAAGACACCCGCTCCCTGCTCCAGCGCCGCCCGCTCGGCCTGCCCCTGCCTGCCGGGATGGGGGGGGCTCTGCGGCCTTCCCTGCTCTGGCTCCTGCTGGTGTCACAGCCCGTCGGTGAGTGTCCATCTGACCTCTCGGGCAGGGAACTGCCATGACAAACAGCAACTCCTGCAAGCCCCTTGCTTGGCTCCCAGCATCCTCTCCAGCAGCTGGGGGACAGGCCGGGGGAAGCTGCCCAGACCCCGAGGAGCCTGGGTGGCTGGGAGATGGGTGGGCAGCCCCTGAAGAGTCCCTGGGCTTTGGGGCTCACATCCCCGGGGTACAGAGAACGCTGAGAAGGAAAGAGACTGGCTG